CTCTCATCGGAGATGTGTGATTTGAATTTGTAATATGCTAATCGTTGTAGTATATATTTATGACAATCTTCATGCACTAAGCTGATTCTTTTTAAACGTGACACATTTTTTTTAAAAAAAAAAAATCTCGCTCTTTTTTAAAACTCAAATTGAATTAGATTTTCGTATCTACAAGAGAATATCCCAAAATTAAAGTCGATAACTTGCATTTGAATGTGTGTTCCTATCCTATGAATTATAACAAAATCATCTTCGAAGACGACATGATAGAAAAACACAAGAAATGATTACCTTGATGGGCCACAACTTTTGAAACATTTCTTCCTTTGGGCATTGTTTAAGTAAGCCCAACAGAAATGAACAAATCACAACTCAATCTCAATGGCCCATGGGGGCCTCAAAGTGACATATCTTTGTACTTTATACATGTATTTACTTACTTTAGTTTCCATCTTACCTTTTCCATTTCAAATTATTAGTTGTATTTTTCATTTACATGTATCTTCTAAAAAAATATTAGTTAAGAAATTATTTGATTGCTTCACCTTTATTTTTGTCTTTAGATATAATTTAATTTCCTTAAAGGTGTCTGTAACTTTTAAAAACTTTTACTATTATTAGAGAGATTATTTCCGATAGAGCCTCAACTCAAGTGGATCAAGCTTTCCAAGTTCAAGAAGAAGAAATAATGAAGAAGCATAGCAGTTAATAAAAAAATTAAATAGTGTAAATTCTAAAGAAGGAATAACAACATTAGCAAATAGTATTATAATCGAAACACAATAAATAATATCTGACAATAACTACTAGTGTACGATTAGTACTATGCAACAACTTTTGCAAGACAACACTTTACCCTAATACACGACTTTCATTCATTCTAATCTAGAGTTATGTACTCGGTAATATGAATTTGCGTCATATCTTGTCCAATGAAATTTCCCTAATACTTTTTTGGTCGACCTCTATCCTTCTAACACTTGCCCTCTCACACCTTCTCACTAAGGCGTCAACACATCTCTTCGCATGTCCAAAACTTTTACGGTTAAGAACTAAAATAATAATAAAAGTAACTTTATCTTGAATTTTTAAAATAATATATAATTTGAGAAAAATGAGAAACAAATAATTAAAGAGAGTGGAGTATTAAATTAGACAGTGGTCAACACGTGAAGTGTAAGGTGGGATCATTTGTTCCGTGCATTATGGCGGTGATACGCAAACATCGCTCTTCATTACTCCACAAATTTAAGTGTTGTAATCACTAATTACTAATCTTGTAATCACATTTGTGTGCCCTATTTCACAATAATAATATTATAGTAATAAATATCAAATTTTAGAAGTTGTAAAATATATTAAGCGATTTGATGGTTGATTAGAGTCAGTGTGGACCTACAATTTTCATTAAGAGATGTTAATGATAAAAGAAAAAATTTTATAATAAGGTAGGGCTTGAAGATGCAACCTCATGGAATTTTTTGCAACCCTTGGTTAACCAGTAGACTAAACGTTCGACTTGTTTCAAGAAATGTCAATACTTATATATATATTTATTAAACCAAAATTTGACTTCTATATACAATATAATTTTCCGACGAAGAGGTGTCAGACCAAGGGTGGGTCCGCCCCTGATTAGAATTATGCATATACTAATAATATATAAACTAGTAGTTATATAGATGTTAATAATATAAGAATTACTTATTTTTATCATTTATCCCTCATAAAATAAATATATGTTTTGTTCCTATTTGATAAAACATACTCCCTCCGTTCACAATTGTTTGTCAGGGTAAGGTCATGCACACCCCCTCAAGGAAAATTTAATACAAGGTGTAATTTGACTAATATAACCCTACTATACCAAGAATACCAAAAGTCCACATAACTTTTCAATTGAACTACACAATCATTAAGGGCAGAATTGGAAAAAAGTGACTAAGTATTTCTTGATTGTTTAAATTGACAATTAATCTTGGACATCTATTTTTAGTATACCTGCCAAATAATTGTGGACGGAGGAAGTATTAGTGTAATACTATATTTAAGCAATTGAAAATTTCATTTACTCATTATGTTATTATTATGGGTATATAAAATAAATACTAGTATTAGCATCTTCTTTTGCACGTCCCCCAATGCGTAGTTGTCCTTAAAAGCTCCTCCTCCCAACAACGTGCAACTAAGTTACTAACATCACCGTCAACATTCCCCACGCGCGTAAACTTCGCTTTCCGGATTTGAAATGTGGACTTCTTCGTTGTGAAGTAAAGGAGGTGTTTGTAACGCTGTATCAGCGCGTGGATAAGGAATATTCGTTCCGACCAATTTTAATGATTCGCTGTGTAAACGTGGCGGTTTTTGAGTGGGTAGTTGTATAGTAGTATGACAGAGCTGTGATTATATCATTCCGCATCAGCAATTTTTGTTACTACTAAAGTTTTCCCTTGCTTGTCGCATTCAAAGGTAAATACTTCAACACGTTAAATACGTATATAGTAAGTATCTACATATACATTATTTGCTGCTTCTTTTTTTAGAATTTTTAAGAGTGTGATTGATACGAAGGAAAGTGTTATATCAGAAATTGATTTTTTAGAAGAAAAAAAATTCTGAAAATAAATGAGTTTCTTACTTATTTTTTAGAGTTGATAAGTAAGCAAGAAAATATATATTATGAAAATGAAATGAGACGGAGAGTGGAGGTAATCAATTAGGGTGGCGTGACGCGAGAGGTGGGATGGTTAGGATGGGGTTGGGGTATTAGGTGATTGTAGAGGAGACAATAAACTTATAATATTACTTATGCAACTTATATTTCCTACTTTCATTAGAATAATCACCTTCTTCATTTTTAAGAAACGTGTTTTCTAGAATCACCCAAACATACAAAAAAATCGGAAAATATTTTTCTCCATAGTAAACACTTTAATGACGAAATTGCCACCTTGTGGAGCTTAGGGGTGATCATCAATTGATTTGGTTCGATTTTAAAAAAAATCAATTTGTTATTTTCTATTTTTCAAAGTTTTGTATCAAAACAAAATCTTTGGTAGGAAACGCTTTTACCCGAATGAGGCCTTATATGGTGCGAATTTGAATATAACCAAGTTTTAATGTGAATATTAAATTATTATTTTTTTAAGAAAAAAGTAAGTATATTCAAGCAACCAATTTTATGTTGGTATCCTCCGTTCAAACAAAAGATTAGAAATGTAGAATTTTTTGGTTCAACTCAAAAGATGTCTTTTTTCAATTCTCTTTCATACCTCAATTACCCAATAAATTAGATTTTAGAACCAACAATTAAAACTTATAGTTGTGATTCGTAACAAATATTCAGATTTAAAATATCATAAAGAATTTTATCTTTAAATTGTAGAAGTTTGGAATGACTTTGATAATTTGTATACGTCCTTTTATTTCATTAATTATTATTATATTTTAAATACATTATGATACCAGATTATTTGGATTACTAAAAATCAAATCAAAGTATAGTGCAAAATTTGTAACTAATAGTAAAAAAATGGAGTTTATTTACTAACAAAAGAATTGTCCGTTTGAACGGATTGCATGCTTAAATCAACCAAAAAAAGTTTTTTTAAAAAAGACAAAAAAAATGTTAATGATGTGTTATCTTATCATTTTAAACAAGAGTCTCATTCTTTGCTTAAAAAGAAAAGCAAAGAGACACAATATTATTGAAGTTAAATATTACGAACAACCAAATAAAATGAAATAACCAAACACACATTGTTTTTTGCAAAAACACTTTTTTAAAAATAAATTATTTTTTAAAAATGCTTCTAAAATTAAATTATTTTTAGCAGCAATGTCAAACCGGATCTAAGAAAATTGCATAATAATTAACCAGAACACACACTTTGTTGTGTAGTGTTATCTAGGTTATTTACATTATTAGTCTTAATTGATGTAGAAAATGAGAGCTATAAAAAGTTACTGTGAGATTCATTATATTTCCCTATTTTTAATGTTAGTTGGGTGTTCAACGTAACCTGTATCAATGACCAGCTGGTATTACTAAACTATCAACATTAAATTTGACTGATCTCTTTAATTAGTTAGAATTTAAGTAATGGAAATGATTTTCTTAAAAACATACAAGGGAGTAATAAAAGTAACATGTATAAGTTTCATATATATATATTTTTTTATAATTTATTCATCTTTTCGATTTAATCATTTTGATGATTATTTCAAACCAGTTACATTCAGTAAAAAAATAATTACTTTAACCATCGTAGTGTGTACATTATATTATAAAAAAAATATTAAAAAAAGAATAAATCATTGTGTGTGAAGGAAAATATTTTATTTATATTTCTATATATTTCTGTATTTTCTGTATATTGAAAATAACTAACAACATCCCTATTTATAAAAGTAAGAAATCAAATTAAACTAGGACTAGGAACCACTATAACTAACAAATTCTAATTAAATATGAATAAGTAATACCATAAATAACAAATTCTAAACACCTAGGATTCCTGCTCCAACTTTGAATTATTATTTTCAACATTTTCCCGTAATTCAAAGTTGTATACTCTTGTATTTTTCTTTTTGTCATTGTTGTTGAATTGGAGAACTTCTCCTTAATCTTCAATTGTTGGAGGTCTTCTCTTCAATCTTCAATTGTTGGAGTTCTTCTCTTCAATTCTCATTTATTTTTTTCTTGGTTGTGTTGGAGCACTTTCTCTCCAACTCACGATATTTTTTTTCTTGGTTGTGTTGGAACACTTTCTCTCTAACTCACAATATTTTTTCTCTTGGTTGTGTTGGAGCACTTCCCTCCAACTTTCAAGGTTGATACCCTTCCCACCAACGCCTTTCTCTTTTTTTTCAAAATCAAAGAGCAATTCTATAAAAAGGAACAATAGAATATAAAACTAAATAAAATAGAATAAGATATAGCGAACTAGACAGTTTTAATCCTAAAATAAAAAAGAATAAATATTAAAATAACTATAAAATTATTCAAAAGCCCAAGCATTCTCTTTACGGATCTCCTCTTCTTCCTCTGGAGTAAAATCATTCTTGATATCAAAATTCTTTACGTATTTCTTCTGGTGTTTTCCCTTTAATCCTATCGGCAACTTCTTGACAAAATCATATCCAATATCTCCTTATCGTTAAGAAAAATTAGCAGCTAAGATAAGAGCATGCAAAATCGAGTGGTGCACCTTCACAAAAGCCTTGTCAAAGTCCATCAGCATGTCTTTGGAGACGCCTTCCTCTGAATGTTTCTTCCAGTATTCGATCACTTTGGTCATTGTTTTGCTATCGACATTAGGCAGGGGAATGATGTTTGAAACACAATCGTCTTCAACCATATTCTTGATAGTTTGTGACCTTACCGCTATCGCTTCGTCCAGTACAAATTTCTTATCATCGCAAGTCTTTAAAGTTAAGAACTTTGTTGAAGAAGACATGATGATAAAAATATATTTGAATAAACTCAAAAGTTCTTGAATTTTACTTCAAGTTCTATCTATTCTGTATATTTTCTGTATATTAAAAATAACTAACAACATCCCTATTTATAAAAGTAAGAAATCAAATTAAACTAGGACTAGGAACCACTATAACTAACAAATTCTAATTAAACATGAATAAGTAAATACCATAAATAACAAATCCTAAACACCTAGGATTTCTACTCCAACTTTGAATTATTATTTCCAACAGTGTGTACATTATATTATTAAGTACAATTTTTTTTTAAAAAAAATTACATAAAATTTTTAAGATAAAAAATGTACTTAAACATGAACATATTAACTCGCAATCATATGACAATTTAGGAGCAAAATATAACGTAGTGAATAAAATTCTATTAACAATATCAGAAGTCAAAATTATGTAGAGAATTTGATCCCGATACGAGTGGTTGATGATTTACATCGATTTTGGAGCTTACTGAAATTTTTGGGGTTAGTTGTTTGGCTATTCTGTTGCATCAAACTTCACTATCTTTATTGTATGCAACTATATGCATGTCCTTATCTGTCAAATTATTTGTAGTAATTTTGTATCTTGTTAAGTTATTTTAAAAGTTTTGTACTCATCATATTATCAGATTTTGGAATTGTAGATTATGTTTTTTTTTTTGCATTTTTATTTCAGTTTATGGAATTAATTTTAAGACTTTACTTCTGCTACTTGTTACCTTTAATTAAGCATTTTGAAGAGTATTCAATTTAGTAATTTAGTTAAGGTTTGACTTATATATCGGTCGATTAGGATATGTGTCATCATAATTTTGAATTTTGAATTGTGACATACAAGGTTTAGGTAGCAACCAGCCATTACGACTTAGAAAATTTGAATAGTGAAAAATTAATACATGAATACCTATTTGAGTAGTAAGACGTGCTTAGAAATTTAGATGTATGAATATTAATAAACATCTTAATATTAAGATGTCGTGTTTAGATTTAAATACTAAATAATCAAATAGTATTTATTTTTTCAATATCTAAATGAATAAAAGTTGTCTTTATTTGTAATATCTCAGAAGTTCAAAAGTGTAAACTTGCAAAAAACTGAATTTACGAACAACATGCATGTACGGGTTGTAAAAGAAACTACGAACCGTAGATGCCACTTGTAGATGAAAGTTCAGAAATAAGAAATTTGGTCTGAGTTTTATGGACTTGGTTTACGATGACCCGTAAACCATCTTACGGGTCGTGGATGGGCTCATGAATGAAAGTCCTAAAATAAGGATTTTAGTCGGAATTTGACGAAGGGGTTTTATGACAAGTAAAAGGGGTTACGAGTCGTAAATGCCTCCCATAGATGAAACTTCATAAGTTCAATTTCAGTCCGATTCTTATGGACTACATCTACGAGTCATAGTTGGAACTATGGATCATAGATGAGTATCGTAGATTAAAATTCAGAAACTCACTCTAATTTCTACAGACAGATATCTATAGACCGTAGATGATCTCGTAGAATGTGTTGAAGTTCGTTTTTAGTCAGGGTTGTTTTAATTTTTTTTCCCACGCTTTTAAGTCATGTACTATGTCATTTTAATATATTCAAATGAGATTAAGAAAAAATTAGTGACCTAAACCCTCCTTCTCACATACAACTCCCCAAAACAAATGCCTCTTGTACACCCTAACTATCTAGTCAGGGATAGGATAAGTGTCTGTATGACTCCATAATTTGGATTGTGCAGGTTCAAACAAATGAGGCCTAATATCGCTTAGGGACCGTTTGAGAGATACTTTCGAATCTATCATAAGGGAAAACGTGGATGAAAGTACACTTTAAGATTTATCTATGCTCAGCCAATCTCTGAGGTGAGACCATGTGAGATGAGATCGTGATTTAATACAATAATGTGAAATTATATGAGATGAAATTGAAGTTTTGTTTGTACATGCAATTTAGTTTTAAGTTGTATTTTTTTTTATCATAAGCATAAAACCCCACAAGTTGTGAAAACTATCGAAATCGTTCCAACTCTTTATATGATCTAACCAAATAAGCAAAAGATTATAACAAAAGTATGATACACTATCACAAAAGTATTTTTTTTTAAAAATACAACATTTATTAATCGAACTTTAGTTTAAAACAAAAGTAAAATTAAACATGAGTTATAGTGTACTACTTTTTAGTAGAATTATCCCACATAGTACGAACAATCTAACGTTGAGCATCATCATGTTCATATTTCATGAATATCTCATCAATCCTTTGATATTCTTGCAAAATTATGTAACAATGCACAAGTTATGACAATTGTGTAAAGTGATAATATCAACTATAAACTTTGTTTACATATAAAATAAATAGTTGATAGATATAATATGTCTTTTTTACTAATATAAACTTGTGGGTTAACTTTTGTATATAAAAAATTTGAAATAACGATATGAAATTCCCAAATCAAGCTTTTTGGAGAATTTGGAATTTCATCTCTTATATGAAAACATGATATGAAATCACATACCCAAACGCCTACTAAGATGTCAATTCAAGAAGTTCTATAAAATAATAGTTCACCACTACTCCATATATTTTCAATGTTAACCGTCGCCACATACCATTGCCACTACTATTGCTGCCATCCATCCGTATCAACTATCACCACCACACTCAACCACAACTACAACCACCACATATCACTGTAGTTAATTATCATCATCATCATTAGCCACCATTTACAATCATCACTATCAACCACTATTATCATAACAACCACCAATCACTACCATCAACTACAACTATAAAATTAAATTAACTAGTAATTTAAATTCTTATATCCAATAATTTTTAAAGAAAGTCCTTTTAATGTATATTTAGATATTAAAGAAATAATTAAAATTCACCCAAGGTCCCAAATAAGCTATAAGGTTTAACTTCAATTGCCTTAAAAAGAAAAGAAGGAAAAAACATTGTTGACAACTTGTGATTATAATAGGTCCCTAACTTGTTGGGTTCTTTTTGTTTTCACCTACTTGTTGACCACCAGTCTTAATACTCTTGCTTAATTAACCCCACCCACTTTTACCCTAATTGACAATGACAAATTAACGGCTTAAAACGACGCCGTATCCAAAAACAGCTAAATCCTCGGTTACCCGCCGCGCCGTTTTAAACGGTAGGGACCACAACAATATCTTGTCCGCGTTAATGACCTGTTCGAGTCTTCTTTTGTAATATCGCGAATCTAGGAAGGGTAGACTCGGTATTTAATTTGTTTAACAGATATTAATCTCTTTAATTACAATTAGACATTTAATTACTTATTAATATAACTTAGACCAAACCCCCTCAAAAACTACGTGGGGCTTTGAGTTGAACTTGAGATATAGAAGAAGAAGAAGAAGAAAAGAAAAAGACACGATTCTTTTGCTCCCTCTCCGATTTTTCTGTAATTTTTCAAGAGAAATTGGATTGGTGATTTAGTATAGGATAAAGGGGTTTTTTTTCAGTTCATTTGGTTACCAGATCTTGCTTGTTTCTTAGTTTGAAAAGTTGAAAAAAATTGGAGTCAAGTTGAAGTCAGAGAGCAATTGAAGAAAAGTGAAAGTGAACTGTTGCTTTATATTTGTCATTTTTGAGGAGATTGGGTTGTGGGAAATCAGTGGTTTCTTGATCTGTTGTCAGTTTATTGTTATTGATGATTCAGGAGCTGATTTGATCTGATTGGAGTTGTTTATTTAATGGTACTATTGGATTATTTCTTACAGCATTGTTTTTGATCTGCATTTCTTTATGTATTTTGTTTGATCTGTTTGAAATTTGATTTAAAGGGTATTCCTCATTGTTATCAGATTGTGTAATGGACTTTTGACCAAGGAGGATACTTTATGACATTGGGTTGATTTGGGCATGGTGATTAAAACTTGTTTATGGCAATTTTATATTTGCTAACTAAGTGCTGTGAAAGAGAAAAAAATATAGATTGCTTTGAGTCTATGGATGGATGTTGAAGGGACTATGTTGTTTTCTTTTTGGTTGAATAGTTGATTTCAGGTCAAGTTGGTCATGTTGACTAGACCCTATTTCGGCCTGGTCTGGTATGGAATGAAATTATATTCATGGAATCGACTATACCTTTCCTATTGATGGCTAAATGCTGTCAAAGTTTCATCTTTGGTTAGGAAATGTTAGATGTCTATGAGTTTATTAATTCTGAAGGTCTATTTCTGTAGTTTATTGACTCCTTGTTTTTAGCAGAGTGTGGGTGGGGTTACGGGATATGCTCTGTTTCCTGCATGAGCATTATCATAAGCATCTTAAAGAAATTAATGTATAATTAATTTCTCCCACTGTCATGCTTTTTTAAGTAAAGCTGGTAAACTAAATTAACTTCCGCGGAGCATTCTCATGTATTTTCTGCAACTGTTTAGTGATTGCCCAGAGTGAGCAGTAAACAGGGCGGCGGCAGTGTAATAAAATGATAAACACATCATGACCTTTTATGTTGCATAAGTGTTTTTTTTCTAATTCCATCAGCCAAGACTTGCTGCATTAACAATGCTTTTGATAACATTCAATGTAATGTGGCACAATTTCTCTGGTTTCGAAGGCATTGTTTTCTTCTAATTGCTTGGCCTCTTAATGGCTAGACATGCTTTGGTCCGTAATACAGACTGGCAGCCTCAATCTGAGTCCTATTCATTTTGCTTATACATTTAAGGGCACAAAAGAGTACTAACTATTGGTATTGTCTCTAATAAATATTTCTGAATGGGCAACCCGCATCGTTGTATTTGCAGGCTGCTTCCATTAGCTTACCGGTTGGTTCTCTTGTTTGGGTGGAGGATCCTGATGTAGCCTGGATAGATGGGGAAGTTTTGGAGGTTAA